TTCTCTTCCCCCCCCAAGCCAATCACCCCCTTCTTTCTCCCCTCCTTTTCTCCTAACTTTGAGCCTGGTAGAAGTGGCAGTGCCTGGGAGGCCGAGCCAGTGCAGGCTCAGCCATAAAGTCACCCGCCACTTTCCGTCCCTCTTTGCTCCTGGCTTCCCAAAAGCGGAAAAGCCTGGGAAGGCCTCGTTGCTAGGAAAGCCGTTGCTAAGGGCAGTCACGTGCTCAGAACTTTCCAAGGAGAGAGAGGGAGGGGGAGAGAAGGCTCCTGTCATTGGTAAGTCCTTTCTCTGCGCATGAGCAGAAAAAAACTGTTGTACTTTGGGGGGGATTTAAATATCCCCTGTATTCTTTTTTAAAGTTTTTAGATTTTTCTGCACAGCTGGGGGGTGCCCCAAATGTGCAGGATAATCTCTTTTCCCTCCATGTGCCCCCGATCTGCGGAAATAAGTATCCACATGCAGGGGGCCATGTTGGGAATTAGATATATAGATAAGGAACCAACTGTGTGAAACAGGAGATGGGCTTCATGGGAAGGTCAATATGAATCAGTATTTTATAAGCAAAGGAAGCTGCGTAAAAATCCTTCTAAAGGTCTGCCACAGACTGTTTAACATAGCATCAAGAGTCCCAGTGCCTGGGCCAAAAAGAACCTCTGTCTCTCCAGCTCACAGTGGCCCTTATGTGACACAGCAGTATGGTGTAAGGCTCTTTTCAATACATGGAGTAGGTGGAGGGGCAGCACTGACCATCCTAAACCTCACAGAGCAGGATCTCTGCTCCAAATATGTCCTTAGTGTGGTGTCTTCGGAAAAGACATATGTGAATCGCCACATTCACTTTCAGTGTTAAGCTCGAGACAAGGAAAGCTCCTCCGAGCTAACTTATCATTGGCCGCTCCACAGCAGCGACCAATCAAAACGGGACTAATTCCCTGTGAGGGAAGAACATTCATTGGTCCTTATCTACACAACATCATTGGTTGTTATCTGCAAGTAGGCGTGGCTACGTTAGCCCGGGAACGTTTAAAAGAAGCCTAACTCCCAATGTATACCCTTGACCGAAGAACGGTACACTCCTTCTATCTGGGATGGCCGTCCTCTTCCACCGAGCGCGCAGCTTCGGGAGGGACGCCCATGGAGCGGTGAGGGAGGTAGGGGACACCCGCCTAGCCAGCCAGATCAGCCGAATCAACCCTGGCGATCAATGGGGTGGCAATACCACCCTGAACACGCCCGATCTCGTCTGATCTCGGTGACAGATGTCGCAGCCAGATCGCCCTCACATCCAACTCCCAATGTAAATCTGTTCTGGTTTTGACTGATTGCAAGCGCTTGTTCGTACCTACAATAAAGCTGTTCACTTTGTTGAAATCACTCTCCGGATCTTTGTTAGCGGCGATCTAACACTTAGCCTCATGCCACTGAGGATTTACAGTCCACCTCTGAGGCCGTTTTCCATCTCCTCAGACTCGGTGAGATCATCGATGGAATATGAAGATATTCAGTATGAGAAGAACGGCCGAAACAAGTCAAGCAAAATCCTCGCTTGACATGAATCACGGAAGCTTAACAGAATAACGAAAATGGATCTCATCTTAAGACTTCCACCCCTGGAGCGGAGTCAATTTCGAAAACGAATACGCATCAGAAAAGTAAATAGAAAAAATAGACTTTGAAACACTGAAATATAATTAGAAAGGGATGTTCGTACTCACCCTCTACTTGCTCACTGTTGGAAGAGAAAACACAAAGGAGATCAAGGCACGCTCAGATTCATTAGATGCTACTTAACTTATATCAGTTGATGAATTCTGTCACATACATGCTGCCTTATGTCAGTTTTCATCCTTCAACCCTTAGTTGTTGTCAGAATAAATGATGGGATTACTTCATAAATCAGGCTCAGAGACTGCCTGTTGCATGATATACCCCATGCCAAAAAGAGCAGTCCTCCTTCTGTTAAAACACTAACCTGGGCTTCAGATCTTAAACTCTCCCCATAAGACACAACATGTTAACATCTGAAGCAATCATCCACTGTCACTGAAATTTTAACATCCCCTATTCTTCCACTACCACCTGATTCTTCTGTTCTGTCCTGGGGCCACTAAAAAAAAATTCCCTCACCCCGTTGTCATCTGTATAGCATCCAATCCCCCAGGGGTAATTTCCTCCAGGAGTGCACAGGAGCAGAGCTCTGGCAGTAAGGAGCCCAGGGGGCGGGCACATGCAAGAAGCCCCGCCCCCTGCTCCCAGCAGCCCTCAGTCGGGCCACAAGGACCAAGAAGCAGCCAGGTAGGTTGCAGAGCCCCCCCCCCACCCGGCCTGCCTTCAGGTACAAGCTCTCCCTCATCTGTGAGGGCAGATCTGCACGTCCCCCCCCCAAATAGCTAGCAATCCAAAAGCCAAAACAGGCAAGTGAGAGGAGAGAGGAGAAGAGAGATTGGATTTATACCCTGCCCTTCACTACCCAAAGGTGTCTTAGAGCGGCTTACAAACTCCTTTCCCTTCCCCTCCCCACAACAGACACCCTGTGAGGTAGGTGGGGCTGAGAGAGCTCTGACAGAAACTGCTCTTTTTCAAGAACAGCTCTTATCAGAACTACGGCTTGACCAAGGTCATCCAGCCAGGTGCAAATGGAGGAGTGGGGAATCAAACCCGGTTCTCCCAGATTAGAGTCCGCGCACTTAACCACTACCCCAAACTGGCTCTCTTTAAGACCAAGTTTTATTCAGGTACAAGCTCTCCCTCCTCTGCAAGGACAGACCTGCACATTCCCCCACCCCCCCAATAGCTAGCAATCCAAAAGAGTCAGTGGAGCCTGAGCGGTGGGTGTTGCCTTCTGACACATAGTAGCATGAATATGAAACTCTGCTCGAAAGAAATTGCCCTTTCTTGTGGGGTTCTTTATTTAGGTGACATGCAAAGCCATCCTAAGCAGGGTTTGACCCTTGATTTAGGACTGTACTGTAACAATGGCATCCTAAGAACACTTTTCTTGGGAGTCCCAGTGAGTCAACATGAGTAGGATTCTGAAAAGATCTGCTTGGGATTGCTCTCCTCTGTTACTTATGGAAAGACTTATTTGGCCAAGAACGTCAGTGTTTAATGTTTTCTTCCATTAACTTGGTCTTAAAGGTGCCACTGAACTGTTATGGATGGCTAGCTATTGGGGGGGGGGGACGTGCAGATCTGCCCTCACAGAGGAGGGAGAGCTTGTACCTGAATAAAACTTGGTCTTAAAGGTGCCACTGGACTGTTATGGATGGCTAGCTATTGGGGGGGACATGCAGATCTGCCCTCGCAGAGGAGGGAGAGCTTGTACCTGAATAAAACTTGGTCTTAAAGGTGCCACTGGACTGTTTTGGATTGCTATCTGGGGGGGGTTGCTCTGCAACTTACCTGGCTGCTTCTTGCTCTGACTGAGGGCTGCTGGGAGCAGGGGGTGGGGCTTGTTGCATGTGCCCTGCCCCTGGGCTCTTTACTGCCGGAGCTCCGCTCCTGTGCGCTCCTGCAGGAAATGACCCCTGCTGGTAAGTATCCCCATCCCCCACCGGTTGCCAGGAGGGACCTAGCGACCCTAGACATAACATTAGTTGGGCTTTGTCCTCATTGCCCGGGGGGTGTGTGTGTTCCCCCTAATTTGACAGCCCACAGAAATGATCAATCACACAGATCTGTTTCAACTTACACTTCTTCGGTGTCAGACATGTTGGCAGTAGGTTTCTAGACAAAAGAACAAAATGAAGGGCAGAGTAAGTGTCATTTTACGCATGCTCATGTGTATATCAGCCACAGCTGGACTGACATTCAATCCTGAAAAAAATGACATCTGATCCTCTAGTAGAGGCACAACCCCCCTCCCCCCATAACATTTCTACTTGTAGAGCAAGGGCAATTTCATTAATTGAAAAGAAAATCATTTTAACAGTACAATTCATGCATTTAAGAATAAGAAGAGGAGATTGGATTTATACCCCACCCTTCACTACCCAGAGGAGTCTCAGAGCGGCTTACAAACTCCTTTCCCTTCCCCTCCCCACAACAGACACCCTGTGAGGTAGAAGAAGAGGAGGAGAATGGATTTATAGCCCGCCCTTCACTACCCAAAGGAGTCTCAGAGCGGCTTACAAACTCCTTTCCCTTCCCCTCCCCACAACAGACCCCCTGTGAGGTAGAAGAAGAAGAAGAGATTGGATTTATACCCTGCCCTTTACTACCCAAAGGTGTCTCAGAGTGGCTTACAAGCACCTTTCCCTTCCCCGCCCCACAACAGACGCCCTGAGTGGTCGGTGGGGCTGAGAGAACTCTTGACAGAAACTGCTCTTTTTCAAGAACAGCTCTTATCAGAACTACGGCTTGACCAAGGTCATCCAGCCAGGTGCAAGTGGAGGAGTGGGGAATCAAACCCGGTTCTCCCAGATTACAGTCCACACACTTAACCACTACACCCCCCCAAAAAAAATCAATCTTTTAACACGATACTGGTCTATCATTTGCCAGGGAAAAAACCATCATTCCAACCAACTCTATAGTATTTAATTTTCAGTGACTTTCAGTAGAGATTAGATACCTGAGGCTGTGGTCCTCAGGACCACGAAGGAATACTTGTAGAGCAAACCTGAAGCCGCGTTGAAGTCTGTGGGCTTAGAAGGGTGTAACTCCATTTAGGATTACACTGTTATACAACCAATATCTGCCCTAGAAGGAATAAAATCAGGGCTATACTATGACATTAATGTATTTGAGCAGGTAGATCCCCTAGATTGTTGAAGTAATTATCCTGACTTGTCAACAGTTCAGTCATTTTCCTATATTAATGCCATTGTTTATTATTAACCATAAATACAATTGTGCATCCATTTTTAAGGTACACAGTGCTTTATAAGTCCTTTAACATTTGTTCTCAGAAAAAGTCCTGTGAGTAGGTTTATAGATACGGAAACTGAGGATGGGAGAGGTGGGACTGCTGCCTAAAGAGATTAAGTCAAACAGAATAGAGGGCCAACAATAAAAACGTAATGTATATAATATAAAAAGATACATGTATTTATTAGCAAAGAACAATTTTACTGAGATGCTTTGGCTAAACAATCGTTGGAAAGGCACTTTCTGGACCAGAAATTATCATCAGTGAAATATCATTTGGCATGTGATTGCATCTTTGGAGGCCTCATTTATACTTTTATTCTGTGGTTTAACTTTGGAACAATTCTCTTCTGGTCCATCTTGTATCCATGTTGCATAATTGTATGATTGCATTGTGATATAAGCCAATTTGTTCCTTGCTGTGTTTGACCTCTGAAGAAGGTCTATACAGGCCGAAACGCATCAGGTCAGGTCCACTGGCCCTTGTGTGTAAGATTTTGGTACTTTTAGGTCCCGGTCACAAGTGCCGGGAAACGCGGGGGGAGGCATGGTGATTTGCACCGTTGCAATTTGATGTGCCCCAACAAGATCAGATTCGACAGGGTTGTTTCCTTCGGCGGGGGTTTTCCGGCACGCTCCAACCAGGAAGCAGGGACACAAGAGGAGCACGGTGGAGCGATCACACGGAGAGCGTCCGGCTGCAGCCCGTCACAACCAGTTGATAATAGATTTTCCCGGGTACTTTTAAACTCCGCTTCTTTGGCTGACTGCTACAGGTTGCTGACGGGTGCAGGACGCTGGCCAGATGTGTCCGTTTGATCGCGCCAGTAAGATCCAGCTGGCATTTGTGAGTAAAGGTAAGGGTAAAGGTTCCCTTGCTCGAAAGCCAGTCGAATCCGACTCTAGGGCTGCGGTGCTCATCTCCGTTTCAAAGCCGAAGAGCCAGCGCTGTCCGAAGATGTTTCCGTGGTCATGTGGCCGGCATGACTAAACACCAAGGCGCACAGAACACTGTTACCTTCCCACCGAAGCAGTACCTATTTATCTACTTGCAATTTCTTGCTTTTGAACTGCTAGGTTGGCCGGAGCTGGAACTAGAGATGGGAGCTCACTCCATCATGTGGCACCCGGGTCTCGAACTGCTGAACTACTGACCTTCCACAGCCTGCAGTTCAGCGCCTTAACCACTTGAGGCACCCCATGGCAAATTCTGCATGTGATCGGGGCCTTAAATGAGGTGTGATGGGACCCTTATATGTTTTTTTAAATTCTTTGCTAACAAATACATGTATCTTTTTACATTATATACATAAAGTTTTTATTGTTGGCCCTCTCTTCTGTTTGACTTACGTCTTTAGGTTCTGGTTCCCAGGTTTCAGGGTTAAGTTCCCTCACCCCTTTTTTGTCCCTGGTGGTGGGACTGCTTACACGGGAGGGGACTGAGGCTTTAGCGTGCGTGGCCCATTGGGCATCACTACTCCTCTTTGCTGCATGGACAGTAAATGCATATGGCAAGCATTAATTGCAAAGGTTACAACCAGCCTCGCATTTATGTAAAAGGAAATAAGAGAAGATAGCCTCAGATCAGCAGCAAATTCACTTATAAGGTGAAATATGGGGAAATGCCAGAAATCAGAGGATTATTTGCACAAAGGTATCTGGTCACGTTCCTGGGATCCCAGATCACCGCAGACTGTGACAGCAGCCATGAAATTAAAAGACGCCTGCTCCTTGGGAGGAAAGCGAAGGCGAACCTAAACAGCATGATAAAAAGTAGAGACATCACCCTGCCAACAAAAGTCCGCATGGTCAAAGCAATGGTATTCCCAGTAGTCATGTATGGCTGCGAGAGTTGGACTATAAGGAAGGCCGAGTGCCGAAGAATAGATTCTTTTGAACTATGGTGCTGGAGAAGACTCTTGAGAGTCCCTTGGACTGCAAGAAGATCAAATCAGTCAATCCTAAAAGAAATCAACCCTGACTGTTCCCTGGAAGGCCAGATACTGAAGCTGAAGCTCAGATACTTTTGCCACCAAATGAGAAGGGAGCACTCACTGGAGAAGACCCTGATGCTGGGAAAGACTGAAGGTCAAAGAAGACGGAGACGGCAAAGGAGGAGATGGTTAGACAGTGTCATGAAATTGAGCAAACTTCAGAGGACGGTGGAAGACAGGAAGGCCTGGCGTGATCTAGTCCATGGGGTCGCGAAGAGTCGGACTCAACTGTGCGACTGAACAACAACAACAATCTGGTTAGCTCTTGTATTTACTGCAGCCAGATTTCATACCCCCATAAGTTCTTGAAAAAGCTGGGAACATTAAAGGCTTTTGTTCTCTCTTCAAAGCAATGGTTTCCCCAGCCCTTGGTAGCTGTAAAAGCCATGGCTCCATTGTAAGCAGCAGTGAACACCACAGAGCACCTGGCCAGTGGCCCCATTTTCCTGCCTTTGATCACAAAGTAGAATCTTGTGTGTTGCAGAATGTCGATCTTCCCCTCCGTCCCAAAAAGGAGCAGCAGTTTCAGGTAACGGTACACTGCGATAGACCTCTTTGGTGACTCCAAGCAATGCCTTTGCAGAACTATTTTTAAGGCGTTAGAAAACACAAGGAGGTCACAGATGAACTCTCCAGAAGGGGCTTCGTCCAGCCTCCACCCAGTCCATGATAGATGAGGCTTAAATTAGAAAACAAGGCTCCTCCCCAGGAAACCCAAGCCTTGACTTGACTTCATTACTCAGCTGATATGTGAGAGGCGTCTTGAAGGAACAAGTAGATGGATGCGCATCCTAAAGGAACATCTGCAGCTGACAAGGTTTCTATTTCAGAAGGGTATATTAATCCCAGAGGCCACAGTCCTGCCATATAAGGAATCCAACCCAGCAACCCATAGCAACACTTCATGATATAATGTAAACACCAAGAAGGGTGTGTGCTTACATAGCCTATACCGCTGTGCTGTGAGGCTCTGCATGTTCCAGTCATAAAACCCTAACAACAGGCAGGCGGACAATATTTTGGGTCTCTGGGATGGGGTGATACAGCTGCTCCATAGTGGAGAGAAAGGCAATAAAATCCACAAAGGACCTTTCGGGATGAATTATTCCCACAAGGGTTCCTGTGGGACTGTTGACCACTATATTCTCTTTACCCTTTGAGTAGTTCCTACGCCTGGAGTGAGTCTTCCTTAGAAACAAAGGAAAAATAGAGCAAAGGTATTTCATTGTCCTACTAGGGCTGCAGTCACACGGAAAACAGGTGGATTTTCCAGGCGCGACCTCACCGGCACATCTGGGAAGCGTAGTGCTTCCGTGGCACAACCGAGGCTTCCCGCCGAAAATGCGCAGCGAAAAACTAGTACCTCGGAGGTACTAGTTTCCGGAAACCGCGGGGCAAGGGCGGGCGTCTGATCGCGTTTCCGGTGGCATCCGGAGCCCCCCCCATGCCCCCCTGCGAAAAAGGGTTTTTTTCCTCCCAAGTCTCCGTGGATGCGCACACGCACCCAACGGAGCATGCGCATTTGTCGTATACACACAAAAAGAAAACCAGTTTGCCGCACCGCGTGCTTCTTCGTTGCGCACAGGCGTATCCTGTGATCGGCACCTCTCCCTACCCACGGAACCTCCACGGTACCTCCACAGGACCTCCACAGGAGGTCTGATTGCTTAACCACACGTTAGTTTGCCCCAGGGCAAACAGCCACGCTTCCCCCCCCGCAGTTTCCTGCCCGTGTGACCGCAGCCTAGGGTAGCCAGGTCTGGGTTGGAAAATACCTGGAAACTTTGGGGGTGAAGCCAGGAGAGGGCGGGGTTTGGGGAGGGGAGGGGCCTCGGCATGGTACAATGCCATAGAGTCCACCCT